TGCTTCAGCTTTTACTCACTACGCTTATTATTTATCAAGTTGAAGTGGAGTAATTCAAGTTCATTATTATTTCTTTGTACCATTTATTATTTAAACATACATATACATTTGTATTTAAATGTCTGTATTCACGCATGCATAAGTATGTTTGCAAAAGTTTCTCTGCGCTTACTATTTTGTCAATTATGGCCACAAAACAGCTGCCAAGTGCAAATAAAAATCAGTACTTTGCTCTTAATGAATCATATTATTTGTTTAATTTAACTGTAATATAGTTTTGTAAAAGTTTTTGTATTTTAATTTTTTAAATTTTGCTTGCGTTCTTTTTGAATGCTTTTAATTTATTCACTACTGCACATTTTTAAGGAATGTAATTTAATAAATAATGGAATCGCCAATTTAATTGATTTTATGGAAAAGTGAAGGTACTTTAATGTAATGTTATACTTCATCTTAGCTCTTTTATGGTTTCGAATGTTGTTGTTGTTGTAAAAGTATACAAATTCCCAAAGAGTTTTTGGGGAGTGTTGCTTGAGTGACAGTCCTAGGCCAGATATAATTCTGGGACGTTCCGGTTATGTAGACTCGACTGTCGTGGGAACGTTATGGTTTCGGTTGTTGTTGTTGTGGCGGCTAATCGAGGATTTTTTATGAGTGGTAAGTATATTTTTTTTTCTCTGATCGCGATGAAATTAATAATAATAATAATAAAATAAAAACTATTTCCAACAAAATTTGGTCCATTTCCATATAGAAATCAAAGTTTTTGGCCGTTTTCTGTAATTTTTAAATGTTTTTTGTATGAAAGCTATGCTAATCGTAGCGCAAAAATAGTGTCAAACTCAGATAACTGGCACCAAAAAAATCGTCATGTACGTCGGTCGTCGGTTTGTTAAAAAAAAAAAAAACATTTTCGTGCACAGTGTAATTATCGGTTGGTGAAAAACTACACAAGGCAATGATTTAACACCTGTTCTGAAAGAAACGCTATTCCACGCAAGAAAAGAGCAAGCAAAGTCTAACGACGCAGGGACAGGCTAGTGTAGTAAAAGTGGCCCATATCAGTTGCAATAATTTTTTACGGGCAACCAAACATGTCTGTGTGGTCGGGCATTGTCATTATGGATTACAACTCTTTTACTATTGAAATCCTCCTTATGTTTCTGGACGACAGCTTCATTCAAACCGCCCACTTTCCAGCAGCACTCAGTCCGAATTGATTTCTTTGATGGGAAACCTCCACATCCTTTAATACCACGTTGCTGAGATCATAACCGTCCGTTGATGAAGTTCTGCGTTTAAAGTCATTTGAGGCCAATCATCACGTCGAGACCAAGGCAGTTTGCGTTATTCATTGTTTTTATTATTTATAACAATATATATATATTATATATATTTCTTCACGATTAAGCTGCATACTACGGAAATCTTTGCCCTTATTTTAATCCAATTTTTGAGCTCATGTGGCATCCAAATATCTTTTTGCTGCTTCTTTCGATCATAGTGAACGCTTCTTTGACTAATTTTCGGCGTTTCTGCAACCTCTCGGTCTAACTTGGATTTGTCTTGATCAATACATTAGTTTTTTCTTCATCGACATCGGTAGACCTTCCTCACCAAGGAGCCTCTTTGATATCGGAATAACAGCGCGGAATTTCTTTAACCAGTTTTGGCACTGAAGTTCTTTTAGGCTATGTTCACCCCAAATTTTAAGCATTTTTTTCATAAGCTTTACGCGTGTTCTTTCTTCTATGGTAGTATGTATGTAAGTACAACAATAAAATATGCTTGGCGAAAGGTTACAGTTTGTAAAGTCTCACAGCTGCAACCGATTAGCTGAATTTAATGTTGAGAATGAAGCTTAAACGGTCATCTGTTAAAGGACTGCAGTAGGCTGCCAAAACTGTGCCTACTCGAGCTGTTGCAAACATATTTACGCAACGATTTTTTACTCCACCCAATGATTTCATACGTTCATAGCAGCTTCCTTTCTAAAAGATGTTTAAACGAGTATTTTGCTTTTCAAAAGCCCAGTTAAAAAAAAAATACATACATATGTACATATGTAGCTTCAGAATTCGAATGCAATTTCTATACCAAATTATAGAGAACGAAATCAACTAAGAAGTATTTATGCTTCGGCCAAACCTGTCTATTTTTAAGAGGCTATTCTAATTTTTTCACAGATATTTATGTGAGTAATAAACTTAATTTTTTCAATTATCATTTGCAGCGCTTAATTCCAACTCGTTTTTTTTCTTCATTTACTTATTTATGCGGCTATTTTATTTCTGACGATTTCTTAATTGACATTCTACACAAATGCTTTGTAATAGCATTTTAAATACTTAATCTTCCTAAATTTAAGCCAGCAGCGAGTATGTAACTGTTAAATTAAGCTTTAGTTAAAGATTGCTCGTAAAATAGTAGTGCCATTAAATATTTATCATTAGCAACTTTTACACGTTCACCGTTGAGCGGTGCGCCTCACGTTTCAGGTTCGTTGTGCGCGTTTTGCCATTTGCCGTTGCATGCCACCGAGCGCTTGTTACAAGTTTTTTTTTTCTTATTGTTCCCACTTTTAACACTTTTCTTTAATTTACCTCGACTCGTGTGCACCACTACTCGTAACTGATTTATTTTGTTGACCTATTTTTTTATTGGAATAAACTTTTTTTTCTTTTTTAATATAACAACTCTTTATTTACGTTTTTAGCGGTTTCTTTTTGTGTTGCGAGTACTCTTTTCATTTCGAAACGGGGAAAGTGTGTATTGGATTTGGTTTGGAATTATTTATAGGCACAACACTTGGTTCATGATTTTTCTTCTTTTTTCCAAAAATAAAAAAGACACGAATGTGCTTCATAAGTATGTATTTGAGTTGGAAATGTCTTCAGAAGTCATTGAACTTTGACTTATTTGGTTAAAATTGATACACAAAATGCATTTGAAAAGAAGTTTCTCAATGGACTTGTTGCCTTTGTGCAGTTGAAGGTTGACACCAAAATGCAACCCTGCTTTAATAAAGCCTGTTTGCAATGATCTATTAGTTAGATTCTGTTTGCATGCAAGCGTATTGGAATAAGAAGCATATCAGAATGCATTTTGTTTGTTACTTACATAAGTATATTGTATTTCAAATCTACTGATTGCCGTAAAGTTGTTAAAATTGAGAAAAGAAGACATGAAGAATTTCAAAGATTATTAGTGTGCATGCCATGCATATTATTCGTATTTAACAGGATTACACATAAAACGTAATTCATGCGGTATTCCCATTTTTGCTTTGCTGGTAAGCGTTTAGTAATAAGCAGAGTAAAAACAGTTGTCTACGAACTGTTAGCTCATTTAATGGTATTTGTTTTCTTTCGGCTTGGTCAAGGCTTGTGGGAACCATCTCACAGTGTTGCAAAAATGGGGAAAACAGCTTTAACCGTGTTAACGACTCATCGGATTTGTTAGATTTTTTTTCCCAGTTTGCTCAGTATTTTTTAAAGAAAGTTTCTGGAAACAAAATTAAAAAAAAAAAAACTTTGAAGAGAATAAAAAAAAAATATTTTAAAGTAGGGTTGCCACCTTTCTAAAAAGTTTTACATTTATTTAAAAATGTATGCTATTTCAATATCACAATATGGGTATCAAATGGAAGGTGCTAGAACAAGCTATCAGAGTAACATGGCTTTAAGCAGGGTTGCCACCTATTTTTAAACCAAGTTAAGTAAACTAATAAAGTTTTTTGATAAAACTTTAGCGCACACCTACTTATTTTTAAATAGGTTAGCCACTTATTTAAACTAAGAAAATTTGTTAAATATAGTGAAAAAAATTTCCAGAAAAAATCGCTCACATCGCTCTCAATTTACCTTCTTGGCAAATCATTTACTCTGCACGAGCGCGATTTTGCAAAAATCGTTATATTTATTAGTTCGTATAAATTTGTGAAATGTATTTTCTCCATAGATAGAAAAAAGGTTTTTTCTTAACAGCGGTCGTCCCTCGGCAGGCAATGGCAAACCTCCGAGTGTATTTCTGCCATGAAAAACAGCTTCTCATAAAAAAACAATCGCCGTTCGGAGTCGGCGTAAAACTGTAGGTCCCTCCGCTTTGTGTGACAACTTCAAGGCGCACGCCACAAATCGGAGGAGAAGCTCGGCCAAACACTAACATATGTGTAAGCGCCAATCTATTATTATTATTATTATTTTCTCCATATCTGCAACTTCGCATTTTGGATATCTGGCTAACCTATTTGTAAATTTTCTTCCCCAAAAAATTTCTACACAAAACACTCGGTACTCGGAAAAAAATTTAAAAGATACGTTGAGTTTTTTTACACGCTTTAAGCTGTTAAAACTTCAAAAAGTTCAATATACGTGCCTTCTCGAATTTCTTATAAATTTTGGACATCCGACACTTCGATATACAACCTTGATACCTTGAATATTAAGCTATACTACAAACATATATTTTTTTAAAATCTTTTTTTTAATTTTTTTTTACATTTTGGCAAATTTTCTCCATCTCCGTACCACCGTGCGCCCGTCTTCTGAAAAAAAGATACAAATTTAAGCATACACTACAAAACTAATGCATACATAAATTCATGAAGCTCAGCAAAAGATAAAAACAAAATGCTACTTTACTGCGGCACTTTTTGCATGAGAAGCATTGGCTGACGCGATTGCTTCATCAATTCTTGAAACTATACCCCCGAGCATCGCAGCAGTTTTGCTTGTTTTCTGTGCAGTAATAAACACTGATCAGATTGCAAATCAGTTCGCATTTAATTTACCGTATTTGTGTGTATTACCAGAAGCGCACTTGTCTTCACTTGGGAGTCATTCTACTCATGGCCTCACATTCTTCACAAAAAGATGCGCTTGATTAAGTCCACAAGTTCCCGCATATACTTACTTAGCTACGGCTACATGCATAACTGGCGATTTAGCTACTGTTTACTTTTAGTGCAATTTTTACGCTCATTTCAGTAGGCATACAATTTCCGCATTGCTGAAAATGGTTAAGCTTTTGTTTTATTTATTTTTTGCATTTTTGCTACAAATACGAATTTTGCTTAAGAGGTAGTCAGGCTAACACGTGTAGCAAAAAAAAAAATAAAGAAACTCAAAAATATTTTGTAGCTCACCCTCATATTGTTAGATACTTTTTAAGTTCTTGTGTTCTTCGCAATCTTTGTTTACTTTTGTACGCTTTCATGTGGGCGTTCTGTCGGCTAATGGCCCCTGTGCTCTATTTTTAGCTAAAATAATTTCTTAAATTTTCTTACCAAAGTGTGCGTTTGTTTAGTGAAATAATTGCTCCTTTGCTTAAGTGCTCTTTGAAAATTTGTGTGCTCCAGATAATTTCCCCTGGTTGGTTTATTTATGGCATTTTTATACAGCAATTTCAGTGAAATTTTGAATGAACGAGCAATCAAAAGAAAAGCAATGATTTTCTGTATGTATTTTTTTGAATTCTTTTTTAAACATTTGTTTAAAAATTGGTAAATTAGTACCTCCATACTTCGATACATATGTACATACGTGTTAGGCGGAAATTCTCCCTCGATTTCTTTAGTGGGTCCAATTTTTTAAAAGAAATATGTGCGTACATTATACGTAATGGTTACGAGGGCTGTTTGATAAGTCCGCCGGCGAAAGAGTGTTTGATAACAAAGCCTAAGCCCGAAAAATTTTGTCCATCGTTTTATTTTCCATTTTTTTTATCCTTACTAGATTTTCTCTTTTTCTTGTTCTCTCTATTAGAGTCACCGAAGCCAAATCAACAACTTTTAGAATTTTTGTCTGTACGTTTGTACGCGCATCACTCAAGAACTAATGCATGCAATCAAATGCAGTTTTCTCCTATGCATTGCTAAAGCTCTAACTTAAAATACATATAGGAAAAAAATAATTAGAGAGTTGCCACCTATTTGAAAATTGCAGTTTAAGCAAATTGACAAAATAAAGTAAAGTTTACATAATGGCTGTCAAAAGAAAGAAGTTTAAGCAGGCCTACACTCGAAAATATTTTTGTGGAAGGTTGCCACCTGTTTGCAAATTTTAATTTGATTTAATTGATAAGATAAACTAAGTTTTGCCATATGGTCATCAAACTAAAGAGGTTTAGGAAAGTTTCCTGTCAAAATTTTTTTGTAGTGGGTGGCCAGCTGATTGAAAAATTTTGCTCAGTGAAAGTGACAAGATAAGGTAAATATGTACTGGATTAATACACCTTTGAAGAAAGTGCGCGATATGTGGAACCGAGTTATAAGAGTATAAATTAATATCCAGGATTAAAAAAATGACGCACACCGGCTTCAAAAGTGGCACAACCAAAAATTATCATTTTTGAAATTATGCGCTAAAAATGTACACAGAGATTTTATTTGCCTTTTAGCAAAATCTGTTAAAAAAAACCCTAAGATAAAGTCTCCCTTAACCATATGATTATCATGTGCTAACAAATAGTTTTTCGCATTTTCTGACAAACGTGTAATTTTGAGTTGTGGCCCTTTTGAAGTCGGTGTGCAATATAACTAACTAACACCCTTATTTATAAAAAAAATAAAGTTCGTTTCATAAATCGAAAATTTCTGTCAAAATCTCACTTCATAAAGCTCTTAAAATCTTTTTTATTTTTTATGAATGAAACTATAAAGTGTTGGGAGGAAGTAACAACGCAAAAATACTTTCAAGGCGCAGTTAAGCACGCCAGGTATTTGCAAGCTAACAATAAAAATTCCAAAAAATTGGACTTTCAGCCCACCTTAAAATTCTAAAAACACAAGCCATTTGGAGCTTGTACTTTATTCTAACAGAATTCAACGGGCTACAAAACTGAATACTCAGAATCTTTCTAAGAAATATAATTAAAAAGCTAGAAATTTTTAGGAAAGTTTGTTAGTTTTTTTTTTTTAATATTGCACATAGTTTTATGCTTGGATTTATACGGTTCTTGCTTAAGAGTGAACTATATTTTTATAAAAAAATAAGCAAAATGAAATAACAAAAAAAAAAAAATAGATGTTAAAACGTGTCAATATGTGGTGCGGCTATAATTTTTTCGACCACTGTATATACCATGCATTGATCAACAAATAAGTACTCTACTCTGTATCACTTGAATTACTGATTTCTTAGAAAAACAAAAAAAAAAAACAGTCACATATTACACTTTTACACACAAATTTAATAACCACATTGCTTAGTCACTCGACTATGATTATGGCTGTTATTTTTATCGCAAAAAATGTATTTGAGGTATAACTTTGTAGTCGTACTATACATCTCTGATTGCTGAATGAGGGATGTTAAAAAGTAAAAGAAATAATAATATAATAAAGAAAAGAGAAAGAAATCTTGAAATATTTGTAGTTTATTTTGAATAGTGGAAAAAATTCTTATATTCAAAAACTGCTTAAAGTCGTTGATCTTTGCATTTATGGAAAATGGTCGAGCACACAACGCTGCCGGTCATTTAAATTTTTAAAAATCAAAAACAACCTCACGTATGGCACTCACAACATTTTTCTCGCAATGTAATTAAAAATACATACCTCGGTTATTCAAATAAAAATGCCTCTAGTACATATCGATGGCTGAGTGGAAGATCGACCTATCTCGGCAGCCAGTTCGAAAACATTCTATCTCAAAAAACTTTTCAAGAACGCCCTATTTCAGAATTCGTTTCAAAAACGCCCTATCTCAGCTGCCGATTCAAAAACGCCCTATATCAGCATATTTTCAATACATTTTGAAGTGAGATAGGGCGTTTTTGAACCGAATTTTGAGATAGGGTGTTTTTCAATCGAATTCTGAAATAGGGCGTTCTTGAAAAGTTTTTGAGATAGAGCGTTTTCGAACTGGCAGCCGAGATAGGTCGATCTTCCACTCAGCCATCGATATAGTAAGTATGTAAATATTTACATAAAGTCTGTGACTGATTGCCGAATTCCTGATCGACTACCCGTATGACTTTTAGTTGCTTCTTCAATTATTTTCTCTTTTCTTGTTTTCGTTTAAAGCTTCTGCTTCGACTTTGAGCTGTGAATAATTGAATTTGTGAGAATTGCATTTCGTGAGCGGCATCAACAATAAAGAAACCGAACACGAAAATTCCATAACCAAAAAAGAAAATATATATGTACATACAAACATATTTGCCGCACCAAAAATAAAGCAGCATTTGGTTTTGATTACTTTGTTGTTGCCTTAAAAAATATTTAAACTTAGTGCTCGGCTAAAAAATGCTAGCACTTTGGCTTGACGCGTGTTTTTTTTTTTTGTACAACACTGACATTCCAATACCCATTTTTAGTGAGCGGTTGAGTAGTTAGTAAGTGCGCCGGCGTATATTGCAAACATTGCTAATAGGAACTCATACAAAGTTGGTACTAAATATGTATGTACATATCTATTTACATTCCATTTGTATCTGTGAAGGTATACTTTTGTGTAATTCTCTTTGCTTTCATAGTTTTTGTTTTGCCTATTTTTTGTTTGCTTACTCCTCCTCTCCACCCATTTTTGCTATTTTTCTATACGCTTTCAACCACATATTTTATGAGCCTTGAGTTTATGCTAATTTTTCTAGCAAATACTTGAGGAGCGCACAGTGCTGAGAAAAGTAGTATGTATGTATGTATGCACAGTGACGAACAAAAGTATTGTGACACAGTGGTTTTTTCGCAATATATGCAAAGTTTTTTATCCTAATTTTTTTTCTTTAATTTTTTATAAAAATATAGTTTATACTACACCCATAAAAATTAAATCTCTAAACCTTGTGCAAAATTCAGGAAAATCCAATAAATTTGCATACTAGTTTGCAACTTTTTATTCACATTTTGTAGTATAACAAAGTGCAAGTTTGAAGCTGCTAGAAAATCGCGTTGCATACTTAGAATTTATCTAAAATTAATAATTAATCTAAATAAAAAGTTGCAATTAGTATGCAAATTTATTGGATTCTCCTGAATTTTGCACAAAGTTTAGATACTTCATTTTTATGTTTTTTGGTGTAGTATGAACTATATTTTTATAAAAAATTATCGAAAAAAAATTAGAATACCAAACTTTGCATACATTGCGAAAAGTTCACTGTGCCAGTACTTTTGTCCCTCACTGTATATATGTACATACATATATAAGCATGTACGAGTGTATATTGGTGCCTCCACCTTTAAGCTTGGAATGTCACAGTATTGCTTCTCAATTTCCATAACATTTCTATTAGTGGGAGTTTTGCATGGACGGTTGATATGTGCATACATACATACATACAGTGTATGTAGGGTGGCGGGCAAACAAATATGGACGCGACATTTTTCGGCTATATTTCTTTTATTTATTTAATGTTTATACATTTTTTATAAAAGTATAGCCTATTTCCTAACAAAAACATGTAAGTGAAGATTTCATACTTTGTCCAAGATTTATAAAAATTCGACGAATTTGAGCAAATGTTCATCATAATTTCAAGATTTTTTTTGGAATATTTATTGTGCATTTTCCTATATGTATCTACATAAAAAACTGTCAAACATACTTAAGTACTTTGTGTTAGCTACAAACTTTATTATACGAAAACTTAATGGGCTACAAAACTGCATACCAAAACTTTTTCTAAAAATTCTAATTAGAAAGTTTGTAATTTTTATGAAACTTTGTCGAATTTTCCTAATTTTTGTAGAAAGTTTGAAATTCGGACTTACATAGTTTTTGTTAGAAAGTGTGCTGCTATGCATACATAGTAAACATTAAATAAACCAAAGAAAAATAGCCAAGGCTTGCTAAAATGTTACGTCCCTATTTACTTTCCCGACACTGTAAATGTGCTTGTATAGTTAAAGAATAATAACAAATACATATTTGCGTGCCGTGAGCTCATTCACCTCAACTGGAGAGTTACAATTAGAAATTACAATTTGAATTGACAGAATTTTTGCGTTTTAATATTTGAAACATGTCAATCAACAGAGTTGCATCATCAATTATCGCTCAAAAGCAACAAATGCAAAAGTTTTCTTACTCATTATTTATTCATACATACATACAATATGTCAAAATAATGACTTGAG